AGCGGGAGCCTGTCTTTGCCTCCTAATCGTAAGAGTGGAGAGTTCGTGAAAAGAACACGTAGGTTTGCCGCTAGGAAAGTGTTTGTGATAGCAGTCTTTAGTCGTCGCCTTTCCAGCTCGCTGGTTGCGTCTCCTAAGAAAGGAAGTCTTATGCATATGTCTTTCTTTTCTGCAGTTAAGGAAGTAGGCTTCTTGGTGCGTTCGTCAATATTCCCAATTCCTCCTGGTCTGAGGTCAATACATAACCGACTGATGAGGCCCTACAAGTCCAAAACATTCACCTGACTCTCTCATTTGCCCCGCAAACTCCCCTCCTACAAGCTGTCAAATAGAGTAGGTTCGTAATTATTTGCCATACATATGGTAATTATCACGTTTGGCAGTCAAGACGGAGTGCAATTGAACAATATTTAATACAAAACAAGGCAAGTGAAGGCTGCAGCATCGGCAATTCAATGTTCAACAAGAGCTGACTTACATAGAAAGCGTCATAGGCAGCGCAGGACTCGGCCCATAATAACAAAAAATAACAGGGGCGGGTGCTCCAAAAAAACAATATAAAAAGAGAAAGGGGAAGGGACCGGGGTGGGTAGGGGGGGACGAGGAGGGTCAAAACCACTGAAGACTCATCGAAACCATCTCTACTTCAAAATCATGCTGGCGTGGGGAACTTCGACGAATGTGAGATCTGACGACAACCTTGCCGTTCGGGCCTCCGATGGGTTCGATGCCGGAAGCACCCGGCCGACGATCCAGGCAGGTGTACCGTCCGCTTCGAGGAGATCCTTACAGTAGGCTTCGGCAGACTTGGCCGGCAGAACAACCAACAAACCGCCTACACGGATGCGTGAAAAGTTTCAGGGGTCAGTTTCAAAAACACACAAACACACGGTGCGCACTTCAAGGCACACCAACTCGAATTTTCATTTCAGTAAGGATTCCTTAAAAGTAACACTTTACTTTACTATGCATAGCTAACCACTTATTTCGTTGTAGTAGGCCTGTTTTGTGCACTACAATGAACTATTTCTAGTCAAACGCTTTGATAGGAGAAAGAGAAGCACGCAGTGTTGGGGAGACTAACCCGAGGTCTCCGGCGTCAGGCCAGTGTCCAGATGGTGGCGTTCAGCGAGAGCGTGCGAGAGCTGACGCACACCGGCCAGGCAGGGCAAACAGGTGAGCTCAAAGAGGACGGGCGCGGTC